ATCTAGCATTTTTACCTTTATGAGAAAAGGCTTTTTACATATTTAACATAATTCTAGGGAAAATATACTGGAATTATGTATAAAGATATGTACACTGTAACCAAAGGGCATTTATATTCCCCAGTAGAATACTTACAACAATTTTATTGCCATTTGGTGTCATTTCCTAACAGATATAAAATACAGCCGGTAAACAAACTAGACTTTAGATTTAAGCTGACAGCTGTTCCTTCAAAAGCAATATTCAGATATTTAATCTTAAGAATACTGAATATTTTACAATTGTTTGAGCAAACTATACTTTTAGCATGTGAAGGACTGTGTGCTTTTATATACATTTCTTGGATCTGATAATGACGCTAGAAAACCACCTTAGAATAAGCTACACATTTGTCGCTCCCATATATTCCCTGGGCAAATGAACAAATTGCCTCATGTTTTATTCTTAATTCCACAAATTCTTTTTATATACACAATGTTACTATGGATATTGGGCCCTGTTTTTTTCCCATATGTACATAAGCCATACAGTTGACTCCAGTGCAGTTTATGCATGTATCTGAGTGAAGATTTTCTGTCTCTAACTTCATTAAGGGAATAAACTGGCCAAGTTTACTGCAAAAGCCCCACATGTTGTCTTCATAGAGTCTCGCTGCAGTGGTCACTAGAGATTTATGGAAAAGCGAAAGAGCGAGGACTGCTTCAGCTCAATAACTGAGGCTGATACACTACCTAATATTAGTTTCATCTCACCAGATCCTGCAGAAGGAGCAGGAAAGCTCTGGCCTTTCCAAACTATAAACTGACGCAGCTGAGGTGAGTGGGTGAGGACTTCTTGACTAGGGAGAAGCTGGGCAAAGGTTGGTGTAAATTCACCCACATTAGATGGTTTCACCAGCATCATGCCAGGTCATCCTCAAACATGGCCAGTTTATGACAAGTTGATTTCCTGGAGATCCCTGTAAAAGTAGGGGTTAACAGCAAAGGTTTATCCCTTGTAAGAGTGATTCCACTCACATTAATGCATGGATGTGTGTACATACTCCTGGGCTGAATAGGCTTCACCACACGCTACCCTCCTAATTCTGAGATCTAATCTTGTCCTATTGAAGACAGCTAATATTTGGAACTGCATTCAGCAGGAGGATGATCCCTCTCAACATTGCATTGAGATTCTGTTGGTATCATACATGATAAAAGTCAGCTAAGGGATACGCCCATGGGCATAGGCAATCAAATCAGTACAGCCTGCAAATTTACAGCCCTTTTGTTGAGGGTCATGGCAGTATTGCTAGTTTCTCTGCAAATAAGAAGTAAACCAGACTGTTTTAAGTTATCTTTACCAGTATACATTTCTTCTTTAATGCCGTAATTCAATTAAAGATAATCAGTTTAAGAAATAAAATTGTTGTCCAGGCGGGCCTTTCCACTCCACTGAAAAGATGAGAACAAGAAAAAGAGTTTTCCTGGAGAAATCTTGCATTTGCATGCTTTTCTCTTAAATTGATCCAGCTCATTTCACATGTGATATGTGTATCCTGTCTTGAAATGGACCCAGTCTGTTGCTCCTTGCCCTTGTGATGGCTAAGCCACCTCATTTACTGCAGATGAAGAAGATGTGCACACTGTGTCTCACCCGAGGAGAAGTTACATTTCCATACCTTCTGTTTCAGGTTATTTACACTTTCAAGTATAAGTCCTTACTTTTTACAGTAAATTGAGATATAGTCTTAAATGGAATTTGTCTATTAATTATTAATTTATTAAGGTCAACTACAGTCAAGGCTATGCTGCTGCATACAACAGGATGGAAGTGCAGGAGGCAGCCTTGAAGCATGTGGCCATTTCTCCCCTCTCTAGTTTTCTCCAAATCCCAGGTTTAATATGCTCTCCACCCCAGAAACTCACAGTGCTATGGGGAAATAGATGTATTTCCATCAAGACACCATGTCCTGCTTATCTGTGGTGGATGCTGTGGTCCAGTAGAAGGATCATGAAAGTGATGAGACAGGTCCATCACTGGGTCTCAGCAAGATGCATAGACATTCAGATAACCAGAAAATGATTGAAATAACCTACACTGCAGCATTATAGACTTGTTCTGCATATGAAACACAATTTTAAACCATAATGGCTTCTTTATTACTAGCAGAAAATATGGGGTGAGGAGCAAAGGTTGCACACCTAGCCAATACATATGCATATATTTTATGAGCATGGATATTTACATTTATTTTTCCTTGGAGGCCTAAGGAATTAAACCTAAATCCTTTGGATGTTCATAGAAGAGATGGGAGCAAGTTCAAGTGCATCCATTCAGTCTGAGCCAACACTCACGGCAAAAATATTGTCCTATCACTGTAGTTGTGCTGTATAACTAATGTCAGTGTTCATAATTAAGGGGTTCTTTAAAAGTGCTATTTTGTGTTGTAACACTTCCCTTTTGATTCCAACTCACTTTAAACACCCAGATTTACTGTATTTTCAGTGATTTTCTGGATGACTTTATACTGCAAGGGTAGAGCTACTGATTGCTGCAGAAGGTATTTTGCATTCTTAAATGCTTATAATCTTTATTCATCTATCACATAGTTTTACCTGAATCAGCAGTAAAATCTATGAAGTCAAAGGATAATTGTCAAAATGGCATTAACTTATTTTTTCTAAATAAAAAAATAACCTTTGAAAAAGTACCTTGCAGCTACACAGATTGACAAAATGCATCAATTATATTTTTGCTCACTTAATAATTACACTGCAGTAAGTGAACTTTACTACATGGTTGATTAACCATAAGGTTACTGCTATTAAGTCACTATCAAAAACAACAACTTGGACTTTAAGAACAGAACTCTGCAGAACATCTGATCAGGTCTAAAAAAATCTGACACATCCATCCAAACTTTAATTTAAAGTACACAAGTAAATGATAGCACCTTAAGTGTAGCAAAGGGTTTCTGTTGCTTTGGTCAGGCATGCTGGGTATGTGAACTATCTGATTTGAAAGAGCTTTTGGTATGTGTTAACAAACACCAATAGAAAGACTTTTCCAGTGAACTCTAAATATCCCCAGTATCCTCTTTTTTGCATAGAAACAAGTCTTATGAGGAATGGCTGAGGGAACTGACACTGTTTAGTCTCAGGAAAAGGAGGCTGAGGGGAAATCCTACTGCTCTCTACAACTACCTGAAAGGAGATTGTAGCAAGGTGGGTGTTGGTCTCCCAAGTAACAAGCAATAGGACAAGAGGAAATGGCCTCAAGTTGTGTGAGGGGAGGTTTAGATTGGATATTAGAAAAAATTTTCTTCACCAGAATGGTTATTAAGCATTGGAACAGGCTGCCCAGGGAAGTGTTTGAGTCACCATCCCTGGAGGTATTTAAAAGACGTGTAGATGTGACACTTAGGGACACGGTTTAGTGGTGGACTTGGCAGTGTTAGGTTAACAGTTGTACTCGATGATCTTAAAGGTCTTTTCCAACCTAAGCAATTCTATTATTCTATGAAATTAGTGTTCCAACTTCTGGGAAAACAGGATTAAATCTCCAGGTACACCCTGATGATATTTTAACTTTTTTTTTTTTTTTCAGGTTATTGCAACGGGAAAATATTGCTGTTTCTGGTAGTTCACTGATACTATAGGCCCCTTTTTCTTCTGTTTTCTGGACTTTGTATATTATAAAAAGTGTTGCTATGAAGCCCTGCTATGATGTTGTACCTCTGTTTGACCAGCCCTGAAGATCATTTAAGCCATGAGAGAAATAATTTAGGACAATCTAAAACTGGACTATGTCTTAGTGTAAAAGAATAAAATTAAAAATAATCTAGTAGTTGTTTTGTATAAGTGGTACCTAGCTAAGAAGAAAGAGTAGCCTGGTATGAAGAAACTTGCCTAGGATGTAGAATGCACAAGACCACTCCAATGTTCAGTCACAGTTTTTACGTGAGGTAGGGAATATCCCCTATGTTGCCCGTATCCCTCCGTTCCAGAGGTAACAGCACTTTCCAGCTTCACCCAGAAGTACAACAAAGATTTTAAAATGCTTCTTCAGACAGATTATAGAAGTATACAAAAATACAATAGAATTTAGAGATTATTCCCATACAAAAACTAGCATTTGTATAATTTATTACAGCTGTCTAAACCAGGTTGACAATAGTAAAATTCATTAAAACATTACAATATTACTGGAGCAATCAGCTTTTTCTGTGCTAGTGTTTGAGTAACAGCAGCTAGAGAGAGGCTCTGTTACTTCTCAGCATCTGAAATTCAGTTTCTGTTCACATTTATCCGAGCAACATTTCTCTTATATGGGCACTCCAGAAAGTGAAAACAATTGGAGCCAAGGCACTCTTGTGCAAAATGCCACCCACATGACACAAACTGAAGATCTGACATGCGATGTGGTAACTGCTAATGAACTGAGCTGGATCTGATGCAGTGTCTTGGCTTTATAACCAGTTTCCAGTCCTATAACACATCATCTCCTGCTCATGGTCACAATTTTCTTCTTTGAAGGTCTATTCTTTATTCACTCAAATCTTCTCCATGTGTCAAGAACATCATAAGAAGAAATTATTAAAAGCAATGGGCGTAAAAATCTCCATTCCACTGTTTCACTAAAGCACTTAGAGTGAGAAAAATTAGGCGAATTCACTTTTCACATGTGTTTAAATTGCTAATCTCACTGCTCTATCTGTATTAGTGAATACATTTATAGTAACTTTTACTTTATAATATTTTGGCAGAACTGCTAGAAAAATTGTTATAAGCCTAGGAGTGGAACTGAACCATGAAAGCTAAACTGTAAGCTGCTGTAAAGCTGGTTTATTAGTATGACAGAATAAAATTTCACACACACAAAAGCTTCTAAGCCACAATATTTTGAAAGGAAGAAAGAGAGGGGTGGGGAAGTATAATCAAAGTCATCTATATTCCCTCTGATATTTCACTGAATGTTGCCATAATAATATGTTGGTTTTGTCCATTCTGTTTTTCAGGCATTTGGTGATATTACTGGAGAAAATCTTTTGTGTAATGAAAGAAGTACAGCCCAGGAATGCATAAGCGAAATGGACAGCGTGCTGCATACATCTTCATGTATCAAGCTGAGGGAGAGAAAAAACAGTACCACAAGGTGGAAAGGTATTATTTTCAGTTTCTGTATTTCTGTACCTTGCTGAAAAACCTAAGCATAAAGCCATGGGAGGGATAGAAGAAAAATGGTAATTTGAAAACCCAGCTTCTCTTGGAGGGTCTAGGGTGCGATCAGTTAGGGCTGAAATTTCACAGTTGTGGTTGCCCATGGATCTTCATCCTTGGGTAGTTTCATAGGTATGTTGCAAGAGTCCTGAGCTGTCATTCACCCAAACACTGTCACACTTTCTGTTCAAAACTCAGTACAATAATGCAATCCAGAGCAATCTATCTGGAGTAAGGGTCAGCATTTAAAGTATGCTGAGGGCAGGCTTAAATCAGCTGCTTTATATATAATTAGGTATGTGTCCACATGTATTGGTCTGAGTGCAAAAGTTCCAATCACTCTGACTTGCGTTGTGGTTTCCACTGTGTACTGAAAGGCACTGGACCCCTCCCAGCACCTAGAGAAGTATATGCAGAGTGGAACACGCCCATGTGCATCAAGTTGCTAAATGAAGGTGCTGCTGATCAAAAGTTGTATCAGGGTGTTTGATGACAGAGAATTACAGAACACACTGGGTGTCTTTAGATGTCACTGTTATTGCAAGGTATCAATTTCCTCTCGTTCCTTACCCAGGATCTCAGGACCAGATCTAGCTCCACCAGATCTCTGCACTTAGCTGAGTCCTTACTGGTGTCAATTTTCTGATGCCCCCTGAGGAGTAAAGTTCAGTTAAAAGCACCTTGTGTTACTTTTAAATCCACACTAATCTTTTCTGCTGACAGAAAAACATTGGAAGGTTCACATGAGCACACAAGACAGAATTTTTCAAAGGAAAACTGATAAATGTAGTGTCCGGGCTCTTGCTCCTATATCTCTCTTGTTGGGGGAGGGAGGTACACTGTTACCTCTTGTATTTACATCATGTCTTTCTCTACATCTTTTTTTTTTTATAATCTTCAGGAAATCATGTTGTCTTCGACAAGAGCTAATTCCTGCGGTAATGCATAGTCCACAGAGTTGTTTACATCCTGATCCACATCCATGGTATGGTTACTGTCTGACAGGATTTAGGGTTCTGACATCCACACCTCTGTGCGTACAGCATTGTCCTGCAAATGATCCATTCGTAACTCTTCTGTGGCTTTAACAAGCTTTTCAGTGTGGTGACCTCACTGGATCAGATCACAGATTGGATCATGCAAATATAAATATTTAATATAATTTTTTTTCCCCTTCCAAATAGTGGGACATTCCTAGATTTCTCAGGTTTGCTTGTTCCTGCTTTTTCATGTTTTCTTGTATCTGTTAGTGGTGGTGGGGAAAAATCCCTGATTTGTCCTTCAAGTTTCATGACTAAAACATTGACAGTGTTTTCAGTAATTGTTCAAAAACCAACACTATTGTAATTGCAAAGCTGCAAAGATGTCCAGAAGAGGAACAATGATGGCTTTGTGCCACAGGCTCTGTAGCCAAGTCCCAACAGGCTGCAGAATTTACGAGAACCCAAAGAAGATCATTTTGCTGGGGTCTTAACATTGGTCAGTTGTGCTTCCCTGGGAGCTATAGCAGCTTTAAGCAACCTAGCGGTTACCCTCATGCTTTCTTAGTAGTATTAAAATATTGCTCATTTCTTTAAACCAGTCAGTGTCTATTCTATTTGGCTTCATATAAATGCATCAGAAATGAAGTCCATGCCCCAAGGGCAAGGACTACCAGGGAAAACAGAAGGAGAAGGTGGGAAGGGGAACAAAGGCAATGAAGATGAAGTTCTTTTTCCAAGGTCACCAAAGTCAGAGGTGAATGCAGAAATAAAGGGCAGACTGCCAGTGTCCTGACTCTTGGTCTTCCCTGCAGTAGGATCCTCTTTGTTCTGAAAATGCAGATGGAAAAGATTCTTACCTTCCTGCTATTTTGAATCATTCATGTATAACACTGTAATCAATTAACACAGTAATCAGTGACATTTTTCTAACGTGTATGCTTTTCTGGTGCCCCCTTGTTCACGCTGCTACGCTAAAACTTTTTCAGATACTTTTACCTTTGCAAGATCTTTCCCAATGTCTTGAACAATGTTGATTAATGTTGATACTTAAATCTATGGTTCTCATCTATCTGAATAATCATTAAATGACATTAGGTTACAACTCAGAGGATTAAATGTCACTCTTGAAAACAGTTTTTCTTTGGGTTTACAAGATAACAATTTGGTTTCCCCTTTTAAAATTTTTTAAAATTATTTTTGTGCACGTGCATATGTGTGTATTTTTATGAGTTATGTGCAGACAGAAGTGGTGTTAAAAATAAACTGAATATTTACAAGAAGTGGTGTGATTTTTGTGGGTTCTATTGCATCAGGTATTACTTGGATGACTCTATCATAACAGAAATAAAATTGCCTTTTAATGTTTGCTTCGCCTGTTAACTGTAGTACTTAATTTTGAAAAAGAAACTAGCTGAAGATAAACTATCTAGTTCCAGATTTTTTCTGTGGATTTCTTCTGCTTGAGCAGAGTTGTGCTTTTCATCAATTACTTCAGATGCTGGGGTAATGCTGATTACCCCATAATGAGTGAATGACATTAACAGTGGAGTGGAGGTCAGTATGATTCTTTGCGTACGTGACTGTCCTCTGCTATGAGTTAAGGCGGTGTGATCTGTAACCTACTGCAGTTTCTGGGCAACAGTACCAAGAAGACAGCATGTTGTGGGCAGCTTCATAACATGCGCGTCTTCTTGTCCTCAGTTTTGTATTTGAATGTGACTGAATGTAATGGTAAAAGTCCCTTTGGGCAATATTATACCCTAGGTTTCCCACCACTGAATTAAGATATCCCAGTCTGGTTCTGTGAGATTTTGACTTCAGTGTTGGTAATATGATATCGTTTAGTCTGATGGCAAGGCCAACTTTACGTGCGGAGTCACCACACTTTCAGTTCTGATAGGACTGTGCTGAATTTTTAACGAATCTGGATCTGGTTCTGAGACTTTGTTCAGCATGAAGGACTTGACTGACCACTTTTATTACCTCAGTTACGTTGGCATGTCTCCACTGACTTTCGTCTGACAGGCAATGTACAATTCTGCAACAGTACATATTCATGAAAGCTGAATTTAAAGCAAGCTTAAATATTAAGAAAATTTACCTTCCATTTTTTTTGCTGAAAATATACCATTTTACCTATTAATTTTTATTACTTACATTGTATGAGTTCCCATGATTGTTGGTCAATATAGACTGGGTGGCATTGGCTTTGAAATTGTTTTCTGAAGTGCTCTTTTCAGCAGTGTCACCCATAATGTTCAGTTATATTTGGATAGTAATTGCCTGTCTATGCAGTGTTCCTTTACAACAATTTTCTCCTGTGTAGCTATATATATGTAGTCATTACTGAAAAGTGTAAATAAAGAATCCTTTTAGTGGTGTAGTTTCCCTGGGTACCTACTGTGCTCTTATTATCTAAAACATACTCCCCATCTGTAGTTCTGTTCTATTAAAGGATAAAGACATAAGTATGAATTAAAAATTAAAATGCTTGTTGTAGATTGGAGATCAAGGTCTATTAGAATATATCTGGTGCTAGGCTCTCAGTACAGTAGATAGATTATGCTGAGCACCAGTTAAGCAAGGGGATGAAAAATGAGTGATTTTCATCATTCAGTTAAATATAGTGCTAAGTGGTATGTGCTAGCATTAAAAGCAAATTACTTAGCACTTCACCAATCACAGCATGAGAGCATTCCATTGGAAGCAGTATTTCCAGTGATGCTCAGTCCTCAGTTTTATTAAATAAATCAGCTGTTAATGCTTAAGGAAGCAGTTGAAGACGTATTGCTACGGTAATAAAAAGATTGAAAATGTAAAAATAAAGAGAAGCAGTACCTCATTTTAATTAAATGACCTAAGAAAACCTTGCTCTCTAAAAACAAATGTGCTAGTGGATCTGTAATATTTACATCTACTGTACCTTTTTTAGGTCTTCCTTTCTTACTAATGAATATGACCTTTTTTTTTTTCTTCTTCTTCTTTATAATGACATTTTTTTTTCTCATAAATCTGCTGCCATGTCACTGAACATTTTGATGAGCTTTTCTGATTCCCTCTTATATCTCCTTGATAGGATATTATTATCCAGTAATCTAGAGATGGGGAGCCTGATCCTCATCACAGGTACTTTTTGGCTACTCATTTAAAGAGTATGAGAATTAAAGAGTGTGAGATTTCACACCAGAAGAGCTTTTGACATTGAGGACTACCTTTATATCATGTAGCAACATTATTTACTCCACAGCAGCAGGCATTGGAGACATTCAAATCTGCTGTCCAAACTCATGGGAGCTGTGGGAAGTCATAAACCTTTTTGAGTCTCAGACCACTCCTAAGCCTCCTCTTCCTCCTAAACAAGAGTCATCTGGCAGGAGTCACACAGCAAAAGTCCTGGGAATGACACATGCAGGAGATGGCCCAAGGTCTGAGCCACAGCTGCACCTTCACCAGCAAGATCAAACATTAGAAGGAGAGAATATTACAGTTGAGGTACCAAAATTACAAGATTAGGGAGACTATGCATAAAGCTATCTTGATTCCTTCTTTTTTACCCTAGTGTCATTCTTTGGGGAATCCTACTTTGAGTTTTCTTTCATGACTAGGTTTGAAAGCTCTTTTCTTTATGAAGAGAAAAGGGTGAGAAGTGAGGGGCAAAACTAAAAAGATGAAAACCAAGAATATCCTGTCAGCACAAAATTGCAGGAGCTGATACATGGAAAGAAATACCACTTCTGGGATTCACTGTAAAAATGACAATCAGTTATTCTCTGTGGTCAGGGGAGGACAGATAAGGTGCAATCAGCTTTAAATTTCTTGCAAATATTATTTCTTTCTGGTTTTTGGAGACAGGGCAAACCACCATACTCAAGGGATATGTTAAATATAGTTAATCTGGTTTTAGTACAAAGATTCGCTGGAGATGTTTTGAGTTTTCTTCTGGCCTTACATTTCTGGGTTTCTGTGAAAATTCTGAGATCTGACCAAAACAAGTACCTTTTCCATTTGTGCTTAACATTTTAGTGAAATCCTAACATTTTAGTGTAGTCCTATACAGCAGAAGTCTTTTTGCCAATAGTGTAGGATAACTATGTTGGACCTGAAAGAAATATTTTGTAAAATCTTATTTCAAAATGTTTCCTTGTGAAAAAAACCTGTCAGTCTTTTACAATATATGTTCTAAACCAAAGCATTTAAGCAATGCTTCCTTCTCTTGCTGCAGCAGATTTTCATTCTCATATACTTCTCATCATCTACTTAGATATGCACTCAGAAGTTGTTGTGTTTTTTTTCTTGTTTTACAAGATCTTTATTCAAAGTACTTCCTTAAACCTTAAAACAACACACGTTCTTTTTGGTACCCATATAACATTTTCTTCTCAAAATATTTAAGAATGTGATATTTAACCTAGTTTTCAAAAGATAGAATTCCTGTTTCATTTTCTTTGCTGACATGTAATGGTTCTGATGCATCTTTTCTGGGTATGCCAATCCTGTCATATACACTAATACGAAATAATGACACAAGGTTGACTTAACTAGACATAATAGGCCATATTTCTAAAACACTGTGTATGGGAGGTATATGCACAGATCTTTCTACTTGTTAATGAAATTGGAGAAGTTCCTCATCTGCACTAGGACATATATTTATAATAGCCTCCTACTCCAAAGGCACAGAGTCCTTACATAATAAAATAATAAAAATAAAAAAGGAAGGACCCTGCATAACATTGTTTTAGGTAAATTTTAGAAATTCACCCTGCAATGGAAAACATAACTGCACTGAATTTGGAGCAATAGACAACTGTCATTGCATCTAAGCCCAGTGCATGAACATGTGTGTATGTGTGTGCTCATCTGTATAGAATGATAGCAGGACAGATTTCGGTGAACCTTTTCAACGTTTTGTTATCCATCTGCTTAAGTCTTTGTTTCCTATTTTTGAATTAGAAATCAGTATTTGAAGGCTTTTGTCTTTTTCCACACATATTAGCTTTGAATATACTAGAGAAGCTCTAAACTATCAGAGAACAAACTTTTTCATAGGATCTTTCAAATTTGAGATGGAAAAGTCTAAAATTTTAATGGTCTTTTTACAGGTTTTTTTGTTTGTTTGTTTTTCTTTTTCTTTAACAAGTGGTGGATAGGAATTGGTTACAGACCCCTATTTTCCCATTATTTTTTCATGTTTCCATTTAGAATCACTTATATTTTTGGTCCAAAAACTGCACTGTCACTGGGAAGCTTACCACGTTAAACTGACCTACTAACAACTGTTAAACGCTGGCTTTTCCCTATGAATCAGTGGCCTTATGCACATGAATCCAGCTTATCAGGAATGCAATATTTTACTCAAGGCTGGGGCTGTACTTATAAACCAAAGGCTTGTCTTTGTTCCTCTGAGAGCCAGAGAGATTTTACAAGGAATGTTGAAAGAGCTGGTCAGATACAACTTGGTCCAAAAAGAAAACAGTGAGACCAGGTTAAGAGTTGTTGCATTCAGGTTTCTAATTTTTAGCTTTTCTCTTCTACCCTTGCTATTGCTTGTGGACACAAGCTCTCCTTTGAGTGCAGCTATGCCACCTGAAGAGATCATCTGCAGCTGCTTTTTCATGCAGAAGCAGCTCCCATGGGAGCTCTCCCTCACCCATTTCAGCATAAGCAGCAAATACCTTCTGTTCCAGTGGTTCAAGCTTTGCAGGGACATTTTATCCAAAACAGCTGAGAGCATTCACATGAGCAACTCCACTAGCAGCTCTGAGCACAGTCATCATTGAGAGAAGGGTGGTGAAGACAGGTGGGGGTGATACCTTTAGTCCTTCATCCAGCACAGCTGCAACTGAAGTGGATTTCTGCTCTGTGTTTGTCTGTTTGATTTGAAAGTTTTTTTCAGAAATCCTGTGTTTCTTATTTGACTACAAATGTTGTGAGTAGTAAAACAGATCTGTAGGGTGAGGGTCCTCAAAGATGGCTGAGTGGTTGGGAATGAAATGTGGACTTAATGCTCGTTTTAGACTGAGATTAAAAAATGCAAGAAGTGTATGCATGAGAATGTGCAAGGAAGTAACACTAAGAGACTACATCTACATTAGCAGTATTACAAGACAGTAGGAACCAGTCTGTAAAGGAAGACAAATGGTCCTGAAGGATCCGTGCCACACAGGTTGTGGGGGTTTGCTTCAGACTAGTTGTAATGCGGTCCTGTGGATTTAACACTCCTTAGGCACTGGAGTAAAATAGTTTATTCCTGGAATAAACTTTCAGGAATAAATTGGAACAATCTTCCAGTCTAGTTTCAGCTAAGAAACCCAGTGAATATGCCCCAAG